ACCTCACGGGTCGTAGGGTCACCGGGAAAAGACGTGGCCAAAGACAGGAGACTGGCTGAATAACCGGGTCAGGGGCAAGGCGACGTAATCCGAGTCAGGCAGCGTCGGCAACGGGAAATCAGTCCAAGAAAAAATGCGACAGGTGATCGGGATTGGGCTGAGGAGATGTTGGCTGGCAGGTGCACAGATTGAACTGATTAGGTGGAGTGAGAGGAGGGACGGCAGAAGCGACAGAGCTGTGACAATGAAGCGGGAAAGATGTCGACCCTGTATTTATTTGTTATTGCCTCTTCACGTGTTGTGACATTCTAAAAGGACCAACGCACTGCATCACTCAGGATTATTAGGTTGCATCTCAAAGGATTTTTCACGAGGGACACAACAACAAGTCAACATAAAAGCCCTTTGAAAGGTTTCCTGCATCATGTAAAAGCATTTTTTATGTTCAAATGTCTACTGTGAATTGGGTCCTCGCGGGAGGGTTTTGTATCCTGCTCCTCAACGGGTTGCAAAGTGCTTGTGGGCTTTTATGAGTATTTTCTTCATTATTTTGGGGATATGGTTGGTTTATGTGAGTCTATTTCTGTCTGAGAGTGAAGGTCATACTCTATGTGCACCCATCCCTTCATTTTAGAACTTCCTTCCTGGCATTCACTGTTGATGTCGTTAGAGCTATTTAAAGAGCACACTATCATTGTCATCATCGTGGTACTGACTGGAAATAGAAGATTATAACAATATGAATATGTTTAGGGTTATATAAAGCATGATTTTCTACCCGCAATGATGATGGAAGTGGTGGGTTTATGTGGGAGAGTATAATGCTGCATGTTTCCTGACTGTGGAAGAAAATCCAGCTGCTTGTGTCATTTGAGCTCCAATAAAGGTTAAGTGACTGCAATTAATAACAATCTGCACAGACTTCACCCGCACTGGAGTCCAAACGAAATTGACCGCCAAACCCCGGTGACTGACACATGTGTAAAGATCTCAGGGGTTCATTTGTTTCACTACAGAAGCAGCCTTGTGAAGGCGCTTTAATTAACTGTAGTGTGATGTGATGCGTGTGTGTGTGTGTGTGTGTGTCTTGCCTGCCCTTACAGCTGTTGATAATTGGAATCTGTAAGTCTCATTAGTGAGAGTACAGATGACATTATGTGCAGATATTACATTTGGAGTTGCTACACATGTTAGTGATAAAGTTACATAAGTAAACGTTGTGCTCCAGTGTTTCCAGTACTCAGACTACGAAAGAAGCCTAAAGCCGTGATGCTGGTTATGACATGGCTTTAGAAAGCCTCTGATTTGCATAATAGCATCTATAAATAATTTAGTACTGTGATTAATAATGTCTGCAGAATACATCTGGGCAACCTTCATCCAAATTGTTGTTCCTGCATGTCCTTCTCGCTTTCCAGGCTCCTAGCCGAGGGCTCGTGTTCTGTTTACTGTACATTCACCACTGGTACAAACACACACAATATATAGACAACATACAAACACATCGACAGCACCGTGCGACCTCAAAGGGAACCTGCTCAGCTTTGTAGCTCATAAAGAATGACCGTGGGTGAAAAAGACAAACAAAGCCGCTTGGATTAACCTCGGCTGTAATTGGATGAGATCCAGCATAAACAGACTACATGGGATTGTCTCTCATCTGGTTAACTGCATATGTCGCAGTGACAAAAGCTACGGGTGCTTTAATGAACATGTATCCCCTTTGGGTGTAATTGCAAATGTCCTCCTAGTAACCAGCGTAAACACCAGCTTTGATCTGGACTTTCTTTAGTAGTAGATTCCTGTCAATGAGTTACATCTGAGAGGTAGAAAACAAGGCTTTGGGATCCGTGAGGTAACTAAAGGGCCAGCTTCCCACTTGCACGTAAAGTCGACTCCCTTCAAAGCGAGTTAGATCGCCATGGCAACCGGCACCGTGGCTTCAGGGTGTCCGATCAAAATGCCCTCTCACCACTCCCAGAGGATCGCACGGGCTTGATTAAAGCAGGATTTAAGTCATGAGGAAACCAGGCAAAAATGTTCAGAAACGAGTGATTAGAAGAGCTGCAGAGGGGAAGTAGCAGATGGTTGGCGGACCGTTTGGACCACATCTGAGAACAAAACAAGTTGTAACAGTCACACTCATGACGCTATTGTATCAACAAAACGTCTTTGAATACAATCAATTTCAATAAAGATCTATTCCCTGTGCCTTATGTTGGAGCCGTCCTAAGCCCATTAGCTCACAGTGTTTCTCCCCGCAATCCTTTTCAACTTTAGTAGCCAACCGAAAAAGTGTTTATGTCTTTTAAATAAAATGAATACCCCCGACTTAGAAAATCACACAATACACACACTCGCTTTGAATCATCCACTTGACTGACAGCGCTTTTGGTTTCTCTTTCTCGGTGTTCTAACATTTTTTTTTTTCCAGTAGCATTTAGACCTTAAAAGTTATAACATATGTTTGTAGAACAGACCTATTATGATATCTGGGAAAACGATCTAAACTGAGGTACTGCAGGTTGTTTTTTTCCGAGATCCAATCTACTGCTGACCTGCAAGTTGGTTTGTATGCCGTCTTTTCATGTCAGAGGAAGTCTGAATGCAGCAGAGACGCTGCTGCTTAGGATGTGGTTGTGAGCACAGAGGTGGCGGTGAAAACAGCTTGCAAGCGTGACCTAATTTTTCCTTTGTGTGGAGGACGACGTTTACCCTCTCAATTCAAATCTGACTTATTGATGTCAACAAAGCAAGTTTGTGTTTGGATTTGTCCTGCAGCCTGTTAAATATCCACCCAGAGAAGTGGACACATATGTTTGATTTTCGGCATGAGTCAGTCAACAGTAGACCTACGTCAGAGCGGGGTTCAGGGTTAGGCCGTGTCCTGCAACACAACATGAATTAGTGTTGGTGTTTGAAATGGTTGAGGGCAGACCTTGACCTTCTGCGTCTGGCTGCAGCTACAGGGGTTTGGTTGGGAGAGGTGACCGAAGTAGAGTTTCTCCCTTTGCAACTGTTCATGTAGGACGTTGGTGTTTTGAACTAAGTTTACTCTTAAAACGACATAAGAGAAGAAGAAAAGCCAAATCGTGTTTGAATCCAAATGCCCCCCCACACCCCTGTACCAACTTTTGTTTGTTTTGTGAAGGGTCGAGGTTGTGTCAGGGCGACACAGAGACAGACAGAGAAGACACAGTGGGAACAGAACAGCAGCAGAGCTCTCATTCTTACCGGGACGTTATTGGGTCACGTTTGACAATCTATACTTCCGATCGACCGACAATCCTTTGAAGTCCTCTGGTTCGCATCCTCGCCAAGGAGATAAGTAGATTTAAAAGTTGATTGAATGTCTCGGGTCGGGACCACACACAAAAAATGGGTCATGAGGCTGCGCAGGGTGCTTGCTCCTTCTTCTCCTCCTGGGATTCAATGGCACCTTGTCTTCACTGCTCTTCTCTCCTGCTCCCTTTTAATACTAATCACGCTATTGTAGCCTGAACTTAAACTCAAACAATCACGAGGGGGATGATATGCTTCATATGAATCACAGGGGTGTCAATCTTTTCATTCAACTCCTGCTGACAAACCAAATCGAACATTTCCCCAAATACTGAATTACTATTTTAGAATAAAAGTATAAAAAAGATTGGGATCTTTCCCAAAAGAAAATGTAATCACGGCCACTGGCTCATTTTCAGCTTTCACCGAAAGGAAAAACCTTTGTGTTGTTCTATCAGCTTCTTCATACTGATTGTATCTATTTATTCCACTGTGAAGATCCTACGTTTCAGCAGAAAGTCCAACCTCGAGGCTAAGTCTACTTGTCCCATTTTGTCAGTCTCTTGGGAAATTATTATGAATATTAAAGTACAACGTGTGATTGCAGATTAGGTGTCAGTTTGTTGGTGTGTCTGAGATTGTCATCTAAAACATTACAGCGTTGGGCTTTTCTCATTTTTCTTGCACTGAAGGAATAATTTTACAATATTTCATGTATCTGCTTGAACAAAACCAATATATAGACTTCTAGTAAACTTTGGAAGTCCTTGAATTAATGGTTAAATGGTTATAGAGAGACAATATAGACAGGATTAATGACTTCATGTTCCACAAAACTGCCTTCTTCACTCATCAACAAACCTAGAGATAAAGGTGAAGGTCTTCAAACACAGGACAGCAGTATCTGTTTGTTTCTTTCGACAAATCGTACAACTTTTTTTAGGGTCTTTGACCAAGTTATCCCGTCCATATTGGGGTATAACGTCCAAGTCTACCAAAGCTTATCTAATCTTACTTTTATCTGGTGCCAAAGTTTGATTTAACCTTCCTTGACCTCATCTCTTCCAATCAATGTAAAATGTATTACTTTGTTCCAGTCATTTTACCCTGTGAAAGTGAGTTTGTGACCGATTAAGATTCCTTTAATTGTAATTAAACATTACATGGAAGCTTGAATAACGGCCCCTTTTGATAAAACGTCTCGTCCTTTACACACAGTCACTCCTTAGATGAGATGTGCCATGTGCCCGATATCCTGCAACATATCAGATTTCCAATTACAATTTCCCAGCTCTCTTAGTTACCAGTTCATCAATGAATGGGTCAGTTGTATCTGTTTTGGTTTCAAAGATATCAAGAGGGACTGAAATGTGATCTCTTAACATAGTAGCTTGAATCAAGCTGGATGTGTGCAGCTCTCACTGTGCATCACAGTGTGCATGTTCAAAGAACACGGTCCTACCTCCCTAAACCATCACTTCGATTTAGTTACACTCTCTCTCTCTCTCTCTCCACGATTATGAGTCACAGTGGTGCTATATGCATGGTCCACAATGATAGAATCCAGAAGGAATTCCTTTAACTGGGTGCACTGACAGCATTTACACGAGATGGCGAATGACAGCAGACATTGTCACGTGCACAAGGTACCTGCTCTCCTGTGGTAGACGAGGGGAGAGGGGGTCCGGGGGAGAGGGAGGGGAGGGGTGTGTGATTGGAGGCGGCGTTAGCCGCTTTGCTCGCGGACATGTCTCGCGCTCCCAGCTGTTGGCTTGAGCGCAGTCCCGAACATGGTCGTGTCCAAGAACCAGTTCACGTTGGACGCACGCAACGCGCACGGAATCTCGTACGTTAGTTAGAGAGCGCTAACCGGCACGCAACAAGGAGCCAGAACAATAGGAGAGCTTCTTAACTGAGACAGCGCGCCTGCGACGACGAGAGAGACCGGTGCGCCTTGGCACCGAGGGGAAGCGCAAAAACTTCAAGGACGAGCTCGGCATCATTTTTGCACAAAGACTCGGCACACTGTAAACGCTGGCATGTCCCCGTGGACTGTTTTCTATTGTATGCGCTTGCGATTATAAACGCAAGATCCAGAATACGGCGAGGGAAGCGTGCGTGGTGCGTCCAAAGACCCAACCGCACCGATGCTGGAATGGCTCGTAGCGCTGTGCGTTGTGATCCTGGTGGCCGTGACCTGGCCGCGCTCCGCATATTTCGGCACCAAGAGCCGGCCCGATGCATTGCCGAAGGGACCGGGGAGGAGCTCGCAACAGGGAACCGGGGACCAGGCCGGGGGACGCGTCTCGGAGCGAGACGGCGGCAGCGACGTTTCCACGACGCGCGCGGTGGCGCTGATATGCAAACCGTCCGCACTGGCCAACTACCTGCTGAAACACTGCAGGACTTTCACTAATTACTCGCCGCGCGTCGGCTGGACGTGGCGGGCCAGCGCCTTGCTCCAGAGCGTGTACGAGGCGTGCTGGCCCTACGACAGCCCGGTCCAGTTCGTGCGGGACAACCTGCAGCTGAGCGACGACGGGCTGGTGGCCCTGGACTGGGCAGTGCCGTCCTACCAGAAACGACGCAGGACGTCCAGCCACTCCGCCAGCCCCGTTCTGCTCATCATCCCCAACTCTTTTGGGAAGTTCACGAGAAATGTGTTGAAGGTGCGTTTTTATGGGGGGGACTTTGGTCAAATTGTCCTTCATAAGGTTTGAATAAACATAGACTAAAGAATATTCATGCAGAAACAGAACGGACAGTTTTGTCCATTGAGCAGACAGTTATTGTCATTTAAACAAGCATACTTCAATTTAATGAACTGTCTCTAATCGTCTCTTATACACTTCGGCAGCTGCTTGAGAGTGCATTTGTTTTTCAATTCCTGAATAACCAACATTTGTTGCCATAAATTAGACAAATACAATAACAGGTCAAATGAGGATGTACACATGCAGTCATTCAAGTGCGAATCAACCACGCTCATTGAGGCAAAGGCAATCATTTGAGCTCAGGCCTTCACAAGCTCAGTGGGGAGAAAAGAGGCGCAGGGTTAAGAAACCAGCAGATGCGAGGCAGCACCAGTCTCTCAACTGCTCGTTCAATACACTGACTGAGGTAATTGAGTGAGGGATTACAAAGCATCGCTTCATGTGAGAGGCCTGGGGAAGAGCGGCGGTGCTCCACATGACTGCCTACTGGCTCTCTCAGCACTCTGGGCACCTGGCATCGCTCATTTCGTACTGTGTGTAAATCCGTCACAGGCCTCCTATCAGCCGCGTGTCAGAAATAACAACCCTGCAAGAACTCGAAGCCTGCAAACCCAAATGGTTTGGTATTAATCGAGAGTGATCGACTTTTAATGTAGATCTAAAAAAAAAAGGTGATATAAAGAAAACCGTGTTAAAACATTAGAAATATGTGTAACAACTGATGGAGAGATAAAACGTAATTACTACAGTTAGACAGATGTGTGCCTCGTGCTTATCTATGGGCCATAATCAGTTTGTGATGACACCAGGCAGTCATGCTTGGGAAAGCAGAGGCACCACAAGGGATACAGATCAATTAAGATCACTCCTGTCGCTGGTGCATAAGTGTGTGCGTGTGTGTGTCTGTGTGGCGTGTGCGTGTCTGTGTGCGCGCGTGCGTGCATGCGTGTAAGAAGAGCTCATGTTTGCGTGGGCATCCACGCACAAGTGGGTCTATATCTGTGACTCAGAGAGGAACAGACAGGAAATGTAGATTATTTTGGACTGCGATTCTTGGCCCTTTCTCTGTTACACAGAACATTTCAGCAGATGGATTATGTCTATACCTTTCACCCTTTTTTCAAGTTGTCCAGCATGATTCATAAATATAGTAACATTAAACATGAATGAAGTGACAATATATATATAGCATCACACAACACATTTATGAAAAAAAAACATTTCTATTTAGCTAATTGGGGGAAAACACTAATTTGCTTTATTGCTAATATGAAATAAACGTGTCTGTTTTTGTGATAAGCTAATCCGCCTTTTACAGTATTTTTACAGTGAGAGATTCTGATCTTTGATTTTCATGATATTTGTCAAAGAAAGTGAAGAGTAGTTCCCAATTATTTAAATCAGCACTGATTGTATCTAAACTGTTAAGTCCAAGAAAGTCTGCATATCCATACTCTCGACAAACTCAATTCATTTTCATTCTCAACTTCAAAAAGGTCACACTAAGAGGTCAGTTTGGACTTGAGGTGTGTAAAGACCTTGGTGGAGAACCAACCCGGCATTCAGTGGCCTCTGTTCCCTGTTTAGAAAGCCCATAAAATGCTGCTGCAGACCATTTTGCCTCGTGATTTACACAGGTCACACTTGTGTACCATCATTCTGTGAGTATTTTGTTCTTAAGGCTTTTGGCACCCTTTTTCATTCCTCATAGATTTGATGAATTACATAATCCGCCCATTATGTGTCATTTACCTTTCAACACTTAGATAATCATCTTTTCAGATTGCTGAGAGAGCAGCTGGGAGTTTTCCAAAATCCTGTCGGGATGGGATAATAGCTTGGTGTTCATGCACTAAAAGTGGGGAAGTTTTGCCATTAAATGTGAAGATTAGATCAGTGAGAGAGGTGATAGTCACAAAATACCCAATCAGTTCCAAGGTCGGACATTTTTCACAGAAACAGAAACTAGAAGTACTACAAAGCCCAGAGGTACAATGAAAAGCGTAGGTTGGATCTGGGTTTCCTTTCCCCTCATTTCCATCTGAGTTGTGTTGTTCGTTTTCAACACAGTTTGTTTAGCGAGGGTTCATTACATTATTTTGTTGGAAGGCCGCCCACCGATTAACTATAAAGAAGACAGTCTGGGGATTGATTGTACAACAAAGAGCCTTTATCAAATATATAAGGCTGGCCGAGCCCACACAATAGTATAATATTATTATCCCTTATTCCTGAAATGCTGCCTGCTCTCCGGCACAATTCCACCTCAGGAGAGTAAAGAGTATTTAGGAAACCATTGACCTGAACAGAGGATAGAGCACCGCGGCGAGGCGCTTTGTTTGCCTCTGAAAGGCTTCTAATCAAATTAACATCCTTGATTTAACTTGACTTGGGGCAACATGTTGATATGAACCTGCTGGAGTCGGTTTAAAACTAAATGTGGTCTCACAGTAAAAGATCAGCTTATTCAATATCATTTCAATAGAAAGCTGTTGTATTTACGTCTGTCGTTGATTCAGTAGAGCAGGGGAGGAGAACCACAGTGCGTATGAGGCCGGCCATGTTGTCCAATGTTAGGAATCACTGCTGAAGGAATTTGTCGACGAGCTGACAGTTTATCAGTACTGGCAGAAAACCGCTGGAGCAGCAGATGGTTGTTTTTTTGCTTCTCCTGCAATGACGCAGAGACCCGTGAAAAGAACAAATCCACCAGGTCATGACAACATTTTAGGAAAATTAATTATTGCAGGCAATTTAGTACTTGGAAAGGACCTCATAAAAAGTGCAAGCTCATTTCAACTACTTAAAAGTCACATTGAGGAAGCACTCAGGACCAATGTTCCCTCTAAGCGAATGTTCCCTCTTAATGAGATCCCCCTAAAGTTTATTATTGCTTTGATTTCTATTGGTAATATATTTAAAAGAAATACAGGCGTTGCTGTACCTACTGGTGTCGTGAAGGAGTGTTTACTACGCCTTGCGAGCGGTTGTAGCTCGTCGCTCACTGTTCCCGCTTGTAGTGGGTGATTCACACACACACAGCACGACAAAAACCTTTCAGACTCACTTCACCAAATTTAATCTCAGCAACATTCATGCCCGCAGCTCCATCACTCTTATAGAACTTAAATCGAATTGCGTCTCAATATCTTTTGGGGATTCATCAGAAATTGCTCTCGTCCTCATCTCATGATTCAACAGTATCGATGTTATGAGTCAGATATGATGCGGATGAATAAGCGAGTGAATGGCGTTCCGGCGTATTGGCTCTCCGCTCAGAGCTCTCCTGACTCTGCCAAGAGATGGTTCCGGCCGTCTAAATCCTCTTTTCTCTTTGAACAACTGGAAAGTGGAAAAAAAATTCTCACTGCAGTCTTCCTCAGCTGGTAAATATTTAATGGAGTGTTTTTGCAGCCCTTCCTGCATCGCACCGGGGTTCCTGCAGATTTAAACCAGAATGTAACAAATCTCACATCAGACAATTTGTTTGCACAGGCTGCCTCCATTTTCTTTCTGACCACAGATGTTTTTATGAGACAGCCTCTACTAATGACTTCCTCTATTCCTCTAATGTTTAACTTGAGATTTACAAGAATTATTGTAACTGCTACTGTGTAAAGGGAATACCTAAAGTTTGGATGAACGAATGTGCCCAATACACTACTTTTGTATGAATTATTAAATGTTGTGGATGGCAATGCGATTAATCGCAATTAATCACAATTGAATCATTTCCCAGCACTATGAATTAAATATCATAAAAATCTGTGCTAAATATGGTTACAATTCATCATGAACAACTATGTACTACTACTACTATCATGAACAAGAATACGGACTAAACATATTACGTGATGCATCCAATGAGCTTATTTGAAGACTGTAAGAAGGATTCATATTTTTTTTTGCTTTCCTTCTTTAACAACGTTACAGGTTACTAGTGCACAAAATACGCACAACAATGTACTGTAAAAATATAACAGAATGGAAGCTGAAGCAAACCAATTACATTTGGAGAGAAAGAGGTGCAGAAGCTTTCAAAGCAAAATGGAAACTGATGGTAACCATTTGGGCCTGACCCTGATTTAAAAATAAAAGCATTTTAGGTGAGCAGAAGAGCCTTCAACAGATTTTATCCGTATTCACTTATCTGCGTTGAATGAGACTGGCTTGTTTTTAGAACTTGTTATTCAGTTTACATTGAGTCTAAATTATGCGGATTTGAGCACAGCAGTTGCCTCGTCAGGTTTACAACATTGATTCAAATATTTAGACATCAGAATTTCTGTGATAGGAACATAAAATAGACATTACTACTTCCCATATTGTTACTTTGTATTTTCTTACCTTCCTTTCATTCAGCCCAAACATGTAATGTTACTGCGTTTATATCAAAACAACGATAAAAAGAATTCCCACTTTAGAAGAAACAATGAGTGGGGATAATTCCGCTTGCTGAAAGGCAAGACTTCCTGCCGGAGACGTGAGATTACAGGCCCTTTTGTGTTCTCGTGCCAATTTGGCTCCAAGTCCAGCTCAGGGAGAGCTGCATCACGCCGGTTGAGACTGTCTGAGCCCAGAATCTGGCTGCACGGACATCATTGGATCTAATGAGATCGTATTATTGGCCCTCAGCACGGCCCCCACTCTGTCCTTAATAAACGGCCTCAAAGTCGACAAGCCTATAATCAGTTAATCACTACGGGGAGGCTTCTTATGGCCACATTCTCAAGGCAGCATCTCTGGATGTGAAACTAGTCTGATTGACTAAAAACATGTTAACTGTGTCCTTTCGTTTTAGTGACGTCGAACCTCTTCTGTGGTATTGCAGTGTAAAGTAGCCAAGCAGTACACAGCAAGTTAGGTGTGCAGTTTTACTGCGTTCTCAGTTCCCTCGCCAACTGTTAATCCCCTTTTCCTTTACAATGCAAAGTAGTACCACGATAATATATGAGGTACAGGAAATTCAGCCTTTTTAGATAAACGTGATTTCTTTGTGCAGGGACCGCGTAGCCTCAGTACTTGTGCCCTGTGCAATGACAATAAAGTTGAATCTAATCTTATCTAATCTAATGTGAAATCCATTGTCTGTCTTTTCTCTGTCACGCTACATACATGGAACTCCCTTCTCGACTCGGGGTGCAATCATACTAAATATAGAATTCCCAACAAATCCTCTTTAATCTCTTCTTCCCACCTGCTCTCCCTACAGTTGTGTGAAACGGCGCTGTCCCACGGCTACCTGCCAGCGGTCTTCAACCGCCGCAGCCACAACGGCACGCCGCTGACCACGCTCAAGCTGCAGCAGTTCGGTGACCCCGCGGATCTGCGCGAGGCCGTGCGCTACATTCGCCACAGGCAGCCCGCGGGGAGGCTGTACGCCGTCAGCGAGAGCACGGGCTCCGGCCTCCTCCTCTCCTACCTCGGGGAGTGCGGCTCGTCCAGCTACATGACGGCTGCCGTCTGCCTGTCGCCGGTGTTCCGCTGCCAGAGCTGGTTTGAGAACGGGCTGTGCTGGCCTCTGCAGTGGGCGTTGGTGCTCTACCAGAAGGTCTGTCTGAGCAGGTACGGAGGGCATCGGGGGACGTGGTCAAACTGCAGGGGGAGGAGGGTGATGGGAACGACATATAAAAGAGAGGTAAACAAAGATTCTGGTTGATTACGTGTCTTATTTTTACAGTTCGTGCCTTTGTTATTTTAGTCACTAAAGTAGTTACACAATATAACACAATATCAGTCAAACACAAAACAGTGAAATATCTGTCAGGCAAAACCAAACATGAGCGCACTTAAAATAACAGTAACAATCCTTCCTTACGCAAGAAGGATATGTGCACAACTAGAGATAGCAGGGTATGTACAGTCTCAGGTGTCAGCTATTAACTTGGCTGCTTACCAGTAAAAACCTCAACCACGGAAATGTTATTATTATGTTTTATTTCTATATAGCAGATGTCTTGGTGCAGGTATGTAGTTTGTAAGAATCCTATTGCGTCCGTAGTTTATGTGAGGATAATTTGAAGGACAGAGAGAGATCAACTTCTTCTCTTTCAGTTTACTGCAGGTTAATTGTGTCAAGAGGATGATGACAAAACTTTCCAGCTTCACCGGGCTGCTACATGATGTAAACAGTGAGAACATTTCTCAGACAAAATAAACGGAAAAAGTAAATCAGGAATTTTCCATCAGCCAAAAGGGATACACGGTTACAAGGAGATTGTAAAAAAAAAAAAAAAAACAGCTGTAAGCACTCACTAAGCATTTACTGGAAAAGCACAGACGATTAAGGAGACAATGGAGTTGCTGTAGCAACAGTGGGCCTGCTCAGTTCCAAGTCATTGATTCTGAGAGACGTCGTGATCCAGGTAAAGTTTCTCTAATCAATGCCAGCAGGGGGATTTACGACTTGTGCAGCTCTTCAAAATTGATTTACTGCTTTTCTCATGTTGTTCCCCCCTTTTTTTAATATGCTTTCGCTCTTCCTCCTGTGTGTGTGTGTGTGTGTGTGTGTGTGTGTGTGTGTGTACTTGAATGATGTGCACAGGTACAAGACAGTGCTGGGTGAGAAGATACAGACGGACGCTCTGTTTTCTAGCTGCTCCCTACGTGGCCTGGAGGAGGCCTTGTTCTGTCAGACAGGCCAGGTGGGCTCAGCACCAGCAGGCCCGGCTGGGACCAGCAGCACATGTAACTTAGCTTCGTGCACCTGGGACAATTACTGGGAACGCAACGAACCCTTGAGAGACGTGGACGAAGTGGCCATTCCTGTCCTCAGCGTGTGCGCTCAGGACGACCCGGTCCGCGGCGACGCCCAATCCACGGTGCCCTTTGAGCTCTTCGAGACGAACCCACATTTCTTCCTCCTCCTGACTGACCGTGGAAGTCACTGCGGTTTCTCCGACCAGCCCGAGGCGGGCGCCGCCGCCGGGGCATTCGGTGCGGCCGGTGGGACGGAGAGCCGTTGGACCAACTGGAGCCACAGAGCCCTGCTGGAATTCTTCCGGGCGACCACAGACTTCTTCGCCGCAGAAGAGAGAGCGAAGCAGCTCGCTGCTCGGAGGAGGGGGATGGGGGGAGGCGGAGGGGGGAGGGTTTTCCGCCACCGTAGCGTCAGCACGTGTAAACGGGTGCCAGCCTGTTCCCATAACATCCACGCCATTTACAACTGGCAGAGGTCCTACACGCGATGAGGGAGCCCAGCGGACGTTAATGGAGGACACCAAGGCCTTAGAATAATGTTTAGATGTGACACTCAGCCACCAGACGTTGAGATATCCAAAAATAGAAGTGCAGATGTTGTTAGGTATTGAGATCACGGAGAGCCTGTCAGTCCCACACACGTGATGTGAGCCATAAAACATTCAGAAAGAAAAAGACCCAGACAGGCCACAAGCTCGCATGTTGTAAAGTGTAACTGCTGCGCAGTCGTCAGTAAACTCTTTAGACATTTGGCTTTATATTTTTCTACAGAATTGGCTGGTAAAACGGGAGTATTCTGTCACAGATACAGTTACTGATTCATCGGCCTTACGTTTTACGTTTAGACAGGAAATCTTGCCTTACCGCAGGAAACCAAAAGTGTTGGATGTCTAGTTCAGAAAGGAAAAGAAAGTAATTCTGTAAAAGTTGAAAGTTAACTTTCAGTAGCTAGATTTCAGGTTTAATGGAGTAATCCATTACACATCAAAGAGAGGTTACTGTGTATATTATTGCATTTTCATTTTCTTTTCTCTGTTGGGAAGTGTCCTGTGATGCCCAGAGAAAAGGAATTATGTGTGACTGGCACCCAGTCAGATTGAGGAAAATCTTTATCATTTTTTAATGAGCCGGGAAGCTGGAAGTCTTTGTGCCTTTTCCTGTTTCATCATTTAGACTTTCCCTTGTTGCTCAGGGTCTTACAGTCCTTGTAAATGCTGTTATTTAGGTTCGAATTTCATACAAACTCAAATTATAAAAAGGAATACATATTGCATCAAAAGTGTTCAGAGAAGTAACATTTTAAAAAGCAGCTCACAAATTGAATTGAAAGCAAGCCAACATTTAGCATCAGGAATCTGGTATCAGGAACATTTATTACCAAAATATCTCAGACGTAAAAGAATAAAAGGAGTAAATGAAATAAAAAGGACAACCTTGCGATATACTTCATCTTTCTACTGCAGGTCAGTAAATTTCTCAACCGACCAGCAAGTTGCATGACATCTCTTGCTCTCAGTTATCCCTTATTTTGTTTGGATCTTCGGTCTTGTCCAAACGCGTCTGCGTAAATTCTAACAGACATTCCTCCTTATTGCACAGTCTGTGTGAGTCAGACTGTGTGTTAGTGACATTCAATGTAGCATTTGTCCCCCTACTGAGCGTGATCCAGTCAGACAGCTGGAACACAGCAGAGTACACACAGACACACACCCAAAATGTGCCAACACAAGTTGGCGCATACATGCCTGATGTTCTTATGCAGGCTGATTATCTACAGAGAGAATCACGGCCTACGAGCCCTGCTAATGACACCGTTCGGGCTGGAATCAAAAAATCATCATTGGTATTGCATTTGCAGAGGAAAATGTAATTTTGTATTATTCAATTCCTCAATCACATTTCAGTGAAAGCCACAGCTCTTTAATCTTAAATGAATCCCTTTGGTTCTCGTTTAGTTTCACGTCTTTAAAGACAAAACCTGATAATCAGAGGCCCTTTATTGCATTAATACAGGTAGTTTAAATGGATTTAATGGTTTTAAAAGATTGAGAAAAAGGTAAAAATTGAATTCACGCTTGCATCAAAGCCATGGGTGTGTTTAGTAGCAAAAGATGCCGAGATGGTTGGATGGTTCATTTTGTGAACGATCGTTTTCATTGTGTCATGCACAAATTATTTGCAGCAGCATATTGGTGTGCTCTAAAACACATTTAATAATAACATGTTGATCGATTAAATCTGTGCCAGTGACGCTTGTGCTTTTCATTGCAGGTAAATCTTATCATTGGTGTCATAATGTGTCTGTTAAGAACAAACACAGCAGGATGTCAATCCAACATGTATCACGGTACCAGTTGGTGCATCTTCATGATTTTACAGAAATAAAGCAACCTCTTAGTTCTTCATTGAGTTTTTGAGGGAATTTGTTTTTTTTTTTTAAATCACTCCTATTAACCAAATGAGTTTAGGACTTTGAGAGCTTCAACCTCAGTCAACTTCAGGGAGCTTTTGTGAGCAAGTCTGAGGTTAATTATTACTGGAATAAAATCGAGGCAGCTCATGCGGGAAAAAAGAGCAGGGGTACCATTCAAAAAGGACTTCATACAACCTGTACTATTTTATTATAGATTAAATTATAAATAATTTTAAGGCTCATAATGATCAAAGCAGAAACTATTTCCCTGGCAATAATAGCTGCCTTTCATTGGCCTCTAGCAAATGAAGCCATTCGATTGGATTGCCCTTTCCCACTTTGCTTATTCAATTCAGAGCCAATACTCTGCCTCGGTGATCAGAGACTGATTTAATTCAAATGATTGATATTTAATTAAGAAAGGGCTTGACATTCCCATCACGTTGATTACACTAAATCATAGGTTCTCTAAATTAAAGCTCACGCTCTGTTGGGCATCAGTTGAAGTGGGAAAACGTGTTTGTATCATCTCCTAAATACACAATAGGTGTGTTATACTTGGAATGGCATTTAGAGAAGCTGGTTCATACACAATAAAAAAATATTGTATATTAAAAATGTTTTTGGAAATGTAGTCTGTAAATGTCTGTTTCGCAAAAAATAGACGACATTCACTGCAGAGACCTTTCAGCTCAAAGCATTACGTTATTGGGGTCCATCCAGTTCCAAGAAAACTAAACGTGATCGCAGAGAAGCAAGCAAACAGCGGGCCAGCAAAAAATAAGAAACAGATGTTTAGGGTCACTGACACTCTAATTGTACTTGGTTTGGATGGTCAACAAGTGGCTTTGGTGTTTCTTCACCAACTCAGTTTCTCTGTAAGAATCCAAAGAAGTTACATTACAATGATTATAGTATGAGGACTTCTCGTCTCCCTGGTGTTTACACGAATTCACGACTTAAATAAAACACCAGAGATGGTGTTGTAGACAGGAGAAGACACCATTCCCCCTCTGTCTTACTGAATCTGTAGTGCCACATCATTCGCAGTCTTTTTGTATTTTAGGTTCCCGTGTGCTTTTGCCAAGACCTTTTATCTATTTTCCTACATATACGTCAAGCTTGCTGTTAATAATTTATGCCGTGTTGGCTTTATGGCTCAGCACTAAAATGAAGATAATATTTGATAGTTAAAAAAGTGTTCCTCGACTATTTGCAGAAAAGAATAAAAGAAATGCAAAGTGCATCGTTTGACTTTGAAACCATCACCATCTTCAAGGGTTCAGGGGGGATTTACTCTTTCACTATATACAGTAAAACAATAATAACAACAATACTATTATCAATCTTTTTTTAAACGTAAGGTTGTGAAAATTTACAATACACCTGCGGGTCAATGCAGTATTTAGTATACCAGAAGGGTTTTCAAGAGAGCATTTCCCATCCTGTTTGATTAAATTAGGTCAAACAGCCCCAGACTGCTGACGCAGGTCGGACGCGGTTGCTCAGAACTCGAAAATGGTCAAAGAAAAATGTACGCTGTTTCTATTTATTGCAGCAATACATGTACAATGTTTCTTTCAGTTGGGATTCACACATAGTCATTAATCATTAGTCTTTTGTATACATTGTTCATATATTATTTATTTTTATATTTAGCGTTTTGTTCAAGGGAAAACAGCAAAACCCAGTTGGAGATTTCCCACAAAAAAATTGCTTTGACCATAGCACCATCCTGTGGATATTATGCAGATAGGGATCCATATTTCTCATCCAATGGCAGGCATCTGGGTTCAAATCACAATTAAATTGGATTTTCTTATTTCAGAAATGGATTGTTATATTTGCTTTGCGGCCAAAATAACAATAAGTTATATTTCATATATTGTTTCATTGTTTTATTTTATGTACAGTGTCACAAGGAGAAATACGATTGTAGCATGATTCGGTCCAGCTGAAACTACAGTCATACCATTATTAAAACAAAGCATTAACAAACGCTTTAATTAGTGTCCATTTTGAAAAAGGTTTACCTCATAAACATCAACCACTGCAGTGTTCTGATCACATCGCTGTTCAGTCCAGCTCAACAGCCGCAAACCTTTTAAGTGACGGTCTGCATCCCTGTGACCTGTTTTCACAATGATGTCTTTATCAAGATCACTCGACCTACTTGCCCATCCTAACTATCCAACCATGTCATTTGAGGTTGCCATGGAGACCACCCGTTCTGCTGCAAAAGCCAGCAGATGGCGACATTAACAAGATTTCTGCCTGAAATGTTCAGACGTCTCCAGGTGCTGACTGTGTACAGATCGGCACAATGACGCAGCTATCTCTGCTTTTGGCGAGGAAACTGTCTGTATATTTAGCACTTCGTTTTAAATTAGAGCTCAGCACATGGGGTGTATATTAAGCTGGCAGTTTAAAGAGATATCTGCAGACACACAATTTAGATTGGGCACTAATACATTATGTCCATATATACTGTGTGCACAAAAATGTGTTTGACAACGTTTTAAACAAGTTAAATATTCAATATTAATATATTACATGTTATTGTACTTGATGATCCTCTAACATATCAATTCTGCATTTATGAAATGTGTGACAAAGGTTACTTCACGACGCATGATCCATACTGAAGAGATGTGAACAAACTGAGCATCAAGCTTTGATTATTTATAGCTACTTCCATTCATATAAATACATTGCTTAATAAATTGATACATACTTTTAAATATATTTAAAATAGATACAACAGAATAAAAAGATAATAAGGAGCTCTTCAATCTGACATCAAAACATTCCTATTCCGAGTGAGTGTTTTTGTTTAATGTTCAGGATTATGTTATCTCAATTCTCAGAGCTGCTCAGGCAACGTGCTATCAGGAACAGCTCAAGAGAACAAGAGGGAGTTGGTGCTCATTCACATGTTAATACACCATGAGAATGAAGTCTGACCCTCTGTGTGGGTGCTTACCTGAACCCTAAAATATGAATTTGTGTTGAATCCTCTCTGAACGTTAGTGAACGTCCCTAAATGTTATCTAAAAGACACAGACTATTTAATAGAGATCTCTCGTTTCTGTATGCTTTTAGTTCAAGGGATAATTTAGGGCTTGATCACAGACAAAGAGCCACATTGGCGTTGCTGTGTAATCTGATAATGCCAAACCAAAAGAAGGTCAATTAAAATCTTTAACAGCTAAAAAAACTAGACCTGCTTTTGTTCCAGGGATTTGGCTATTGTGGGAAGAATAATGTCTAATAAACAGCAGCATAATCAAGTATCCATCCATCAAACCCTGCAACAATGCTGCAAAAAAAGTAAGTGTGAGAGTAACCTACTCTGTGGGCTATTCTAATAATTGCAAGGGATTTGCATTGTTAAATAAAATAATAAATACAACGTAGATTAAAAAATGTATTTTCTGTGCTACGTGTGGCAAGCTTGAAAAAGGAGCAGGTTGGTAAAACTCAGCTTTAGTAAATTCAGTAGACTTAATTTTAGTTTAAATCTGAGCTGCTTAACAAATTAATTCAAAGGTTAGCAGAAAGTATAATGCTGTTTTTAAACAATTGATTTATGATTATATCGTCATCATTCAATGTATCTAATTGCTTTTCAAGTTTTTAAATCTCATAGTCACTCCACAATTTCCACAGCTAGTGACGTACAAGTATCTTGGACTCAGGCTGCAAATATTTGTGGCTAGCCTAAAGCAAATTGCAATTTTTTAAATTCCTTAACTGTCACATTACGTGGGTTTCACGCGGCGTGGCCATTCCCTGCTCACTATGCGAGCGTGTGCATCCCAGTCAGCACATGTTGCATGTGCATGCACGTCCTTTAGTCTACACAAAGAGGTTGCCTGGCGGGTAACCGCCTCTGTTTCAGGCTAAATCGGAGTCGGCTAACACTTGAAGATCTAATAGAAAATGACACCATAGCCTGATCTGTTTGGTCACAATCCAAATCGCACGGCAAGTAAAACCGAAGCATCCCTCAGAGCGCAGGGTAGAAACCTGCCGCTTACAACCCATGGAGCCTTGTGCAGCAGGTGGGCTACCGGGGCGCAGCAGGGCTCATGTTTCCCCTCATCTTTAGGACAACAGTGCTGTGTAGTACGAACTATACAGTATTCACATTCCCAGAACACTCAGTCCTTCTGCATTTTCCGTCTCCCCCATATAGTGTCAAAACACGGGTCTGACAGTGCGGCGCTAAGGCCAGGGCCGTCGTCCCGGGCCGCCAGTATATTCTTGTTTCGCTGTGTTTTATGGTACCGGCTTACATAAGCAAGCAGCCGCTGAGCAGCTGTTTTTGGACTCCAGGATGCGGCCTCTTCCACATGCAAGCATGTACATACTTGATGGCGCACACATACTGCATCTATCTCAGGATGCTCATATACAGTACTGTGACCCCAGGGGGGGGAAGGGGGAAACAAGGACATTTCTTGCAGCCTAGCTTCATCATGTCAGTTTGCGCAATAAGAAGGCGCCGCCAGAAGACGTTGCCCTTGGTGCCTGTCTGGGCTTGATGTCTTTGGGGTAGAAGAGAAGATGGGAAGGAGAGACAGGGCTGGGGAGTGAGGGAGAAATGGAGAGGGAAATGTAGTAATAGAGAACAGGAAATTAAAGTGGAAAGAGGGTGGAGGCAACGCTGAGAGGGGAAATATCAATGGATGCTTGGGGAAGGAGTTAGATGTAAAAAAAGAATGAAGAAAACCACAGTCAAGGAAGACAGTAGAACATAAATGGATTGACGGAAAGAGAATAAGTATAAAGGTGGGCAGTGTGTGCACGTGTGTATGTGCGTTGGAGTGTACACGTGTGTGTGTGTGTGTGTGTGTGTGTGCGCGCGCATAGCAAGCCTCTCTGGAAAAATACCAGCCTTCCTTAACTGAGGTTCTGCTGCATACACACACACACACACACACACACACACGCACACACACACACATCATCACCACCACCACTCACTTGTGGT